TGGTACCAGATATTGGGGCAAATGTTGAAAGATCAGAGAGACAAAGGAACAAGCCACCTCTTACCTCTAGGACTCCTCAGCCTGAAAAGGCCTCAGTTCCTGTCTCCTCATGCCTTATATACCTTTCTCCACCCAGCCATCACTTCCTTCCCAGTGCTGGGATTAAAGGCGTGTGATTCCCAAGTACTAGGATTAAAGGTGTGTGCCACCACTGCCTGGCTCTGTTTCTCTCCTAGACTGAGTCAGTCTTATGTAGTCCAGGGTGGCTTTGAACTCACAGAGATCCAGATGGATCTCTGCCTCCAGGGTGCTAGGATTAAAGGCATGTGCCACCACTGCCTGGCTTCTATGTTTAGTCTAGTGGCTTACTCTGTACTCTGACCTTCAGGCAAATTTTATTAGGGTTCACAATATATCACCACAGATATGCATTATGTGCAAGTGTTTGATGTACGGAATTATACTATCATGGGTAGAGATTAAATAACTTGCCATTGTGTAGATGTGGGGTTTGGGGCTAAACTGAGGCAGTTTGGCTCTGTCTTTGCTCATAGTTTCTCCTTTTATTATTTTTTGGATTGTTTTTTTTGAGACAGGGTTTCTCTGTGTAACAACCCTGGCTGTCCTGAAACTCATTCTGCAGACCAGGCTGGCCTTGAACTCACAGGGATCTACCTGACTCTGCCTCCTAAGTGCTGGGATTAAAGGTGTGCGCCATCACCACACCCAGCTCCTCATTGTCTCTTTACTATAGTTGCTACAGTGCTTCATCTGTCAGTCATTCTGTTTTAAGTTAGGGGGAAATTCAGAAAAGCATGGTTCATGTTTCCTTCTTTAAGATGTATTTGAATAAATTAAGAAAACAGATGATGAATTGTGTGTAGCACCTGACTGTATGATTGTATGAAATACTACGCATATGACAATGCTGTGCACACCTTGTTTATAAAGAAAAGTACATACAGTAGGGATAAGTACATAAAGCCTTTTACTGATAGGTCTGCTTGTTGAAGTGTGGGAGCTACTGGAACAGACAGTATGTAGTCTACAGGGACTCTTTGGGAAGAGGGGTCCTCACAGAGGACTTGGGCCTGAAAGAGTGCATAGAATACAGATTGGTAGAACAGCCCAGGGAGGGTGTGGATCATCCAAGGAACAATGATGTGTCAGCAACTCTGGGAGTATCACCTCCAAATTTAGGCATCAGATCTTATGACTTTAAGACTGGAGTTATACAAATGTTAAGGTACAAGATTTTTCTGATTGTATTTAAGGCCTACTCCACAAAGGGAAACACATGCCAAATACTGTAAACCTGGCCAGGAAACCATGGGTGGGAAGTTCATAGTCCCAGGGGTGACCCTACAGCTACTATTCTACTATATGGGTACAGTATCAAACTGTCCTCTAAATTCCCCTCTCTCTACTCATAGATTACTGAGAGTATCAGATCCCACCAGAGAAGTTTCTCTGGGCAATGGGCAGCGGCTACTACAGAAACCAATGCAGAGAGCGTCAGTGGAGTGCTCAGGCACAAACCGAATGTGTACATCACCCTCCCCTGAAGACCCAGGGACCACTGTAGAAGAGGGTCGGAAAGCTGTAAGAGCCAGAGGTTGGAGCCAGATTGTGTCTTCTGGGTCTGACAGGACCACTGCACTCAGGGATTCACAGCAGCTGTGGCTGCTTGCACAAGACCCACACAAGATCAAGCCTATCAACATTCCAGCTTAGAACCCAGGGAAATGGTTCAGGAGGCCCAATTCTTTTTTTTTTTAAATAAAGACAGGGTTTCTCTGTGTAACAGCCCTGGCTGTCCTGGAACTCATTTTGTAGACCAGCCTGGCCTTGAACTCAGAGATCCACCTGCCTCTGCCTCCAGAGTGCTGGGATTAAAGGTATGTGCCACAACCCTGACCCTACAAGGCCCAACTCTTAACTGAGGAACTATTGACAGTTGATTGCTCCTGGGTGAGACAGAGTCAGTTTCTTTAAGGGGTAGTGAATGACCTTACACTCAGGAATATGTGAGCAGTACAAATGGCCCTCAATATGTTATTTTTTTAAAAAAATGACAGGAAGTCAGGGGGTAGGGAGGTGGGAAGTGTTTCTGTGAGGAGTCAGGGAGAGTGGTGGCGGTGAGTATGATCAAATTACATTGTATGAAATTCTCAAAGAATTAATAAAAATACGTTTAAAAGAAAAGATTAGAGTGATAGCCGGAGGCCAGAGTCTGTTCCACCTTGGGACTCCAGAGGGAGCACTTCCGATGTGTCTGTGAACATCAGTGGGGAGGGTGTGGAGGTTTTGGGTGGGAGGGTGAGTGGTGTAAGTTTGCTTCAACAGTTTGTTTCCTTGACAGCCAGTTAGTCAATGAATAAGTGAACTCACTGAACAGGAATGACTAGCGGCTTCTCCAAGAATAACTGATTTGCTAAATGGAGCTGAATTAAGAGAATGTGTATATATTGAGGAAAGGACAAGGTGTAATTCAGTGGTAGGGTGCTTGCGCAACATGTGGAAGGCCTTAGGTTGGGTATTCATCATGGCAAGCAAGCAAACAAAACAGGCCTGAAGAAACGTGTGTGTGTGTGTGTGTGTGTGTGTGTGTGTGTGTGTGTGTGTGAGAGAGAGAGAGAGAGAGAGAGAGAGAGAGAGAGAGAGAGAGAGAGAGAGAGAGAGACAAACACCTTGGTAATTTCTCAGTCTACAGCCTCCACTGCACTCAGGGATTCACAGCAGCTGTGGCTGCTTGCACAAGACCCACACAAGATCAAGCCTATCAACATTCCAGCTTAGATGCTTGGGCTTCATATGCTTGCTATATAATAAAAGCAAATGTTTCTTATTGCATTATTGAATTTTAAAAGCTTTATAAAGCAGCTGAGGTTTTTCTGGTGTCGTCTGACAGATTCTCCATCTACTGGATAATTGTGTGGACTTGCTGTACATGATCCTCTTCTTCTTGTGTCCATGCTATTGTGCTCAGTGGCAAACAGCAGGGCAGCCATTCCCCTTCCAGGTCTGTGTGTGCAAGATGGCCTCTTTCATGCCAGAAGAACTGTTTGGGGAAGATGACTTGTGTCCTACTTTGGCCTCAAAGTCTTAGGTTCTAAGTGGGTCTGACTTGCTCAGAGATGTAAACATTAATTTTACCTTCCTGTGCATACAGGAATACTTGTATCTTGAAAAAGTGCTTTATATTTTTGAGTGACAGTGGAGGCTGTAGACTGAGAAATTACCAAGGTGTTTGTCAAAATCCCAACTTTGTATACGAAGAACACGCTTCTGGAAGGGTGCTGTTTATTTGAGGCTTGCTTCTGTTCTCTATTTCCAGATGGACAATGGAAGCACCATTAATGGAAGTCTTGTTGTTATGTGGATGATTCTGTGAAATGAGCGCTGTGATTTATATTTGTAATGGTGTGAAAGGTGAGAGAATGTATTAAACTACTGTCTTGGTCTTGTCTGTGATTTTATGTAAGAGTGACAAGGTCAAAGTTTCTTCAGGCATGAATAATGAAGTAGAGTGAAGCCATCCTGATCATTTTCTGGTAAAGACATGCTGTTTAAAGGCTGTATATTTAAACATCTCTATTTGGTGGTTACAAATGGTCAACAATGCTAGAAATGAGAAATGCCTAACTCCAGTATTGGTTATTCGTGCCTTGAGTGCAGCAGAGACTTGAAGAAAGTGTCTATGGATTTGTCTCCAAGCATGGAGTTCCAGTAGGGGAAATGGGGGAGGAGTGCATTGAGTGTCTTCAATGACTTCAAGGAATTCCATATCCCACCTCCAGATTTCCAACTTGGCATTTTAGAATTTTAAATTATAGAAGTGGAAATAGAAATATGGAAAAATGAAGCAGAGGCAGGAATAGGGAGGAGCAGGCACCTGTAGCTCCATAACCTGGAGGCTAATGCGGCACGAGGAGCCCAAATTTAGGGCTAGCCTGGGGTAGCTCCCTGTCTCAAAAAAACCAGAAAAATAATGCTAATAATGTTTTTCCCCTACAAATCCATTTGACAGCAAAAGTGTTTTGAATCCAGTGACTGCCTTTCTGACCTGTGTACATTGGGACATCCTCACCAAGCTCTTTAGACAGGTTTTAACAAACTATTTTCTGGTCAATCTGTGGCTGATGCCTTCCACTTATACTTCATGAAGGATGCCATTTATGGATATTTATTCTTTTTAAAGTGAGGTTCCTCAATTAGCAATGAACCAAAGGCATTCTAAAATCTTATTTGATTCTAAAATTAACAAAAATGCTAGTAGGCGGTGGACACTTGAGCAGTGTCTGCTAGTTCAACTGAATCCAGTCTTCAGGACAACCCTGCCCTCCAGATTCATCATCTCGCTAGAATCTTCCAGCTGTGACAAATGACACCCTCTGTTTATCTCCTTGGAGAATCTTTCCTTCCTTCAATGTCTCTTTGTTAGCCAATGATGGCCTTATTAACCAGCCCAGGTCTTTACTCTCAAAAATGGAATTTAAATCTTTCTTACCCAAGACCCTGGAGGCAACCCTGATGAAAATGATTAAGTCATAAAAAAAGCACACGAAGCTAGAGGGGGACTAGGTGGGAAGAGGAGGGGGATCGGTATGAAGGGAACAGGAGGAGGTAAGGGGTGTGAATATGATAAAAATACATTGTATGTATGGAAACGTCACAATGAAACCCGTTATCATACCCAATCAAAAATATGCTAATAAAAAGAAATTTGAATTTAGTAGTTCTAGGGAGTGGCCTGGATACTCATATTAGAAGTCAGAACAGAAGCAACCACAAAACTTGCTAAGTCACTCTGATGCTGTAAGAAGGCCACAGGGGACAGTGCAATAAAGGGTCAAGTTTGAAGCCCTGTGTCAGCATGAACATTTCAGAAGATGGCCACAGAACGTAGCTGTGACATATTTGGTGTGACAATAAGGTCAGAGAACTTTAGCTCTTGTGTAACGCTGTCTGTCTGTTGTCTTTCCCTTCTGTCTCCTCAGCCATCATGTACGTCATGGGAGCACTTGGCCCTGCAGTAGGATATTTACTAGGTGGCCTACTCATTGGTTTTTATGTCGATCCCAGAAATCCTGTTCTCCTTGATCAGAACGACCCTCGTTTCATCGGAAACTGGTGAGTGGTTTCTACATTTTGCATTTCACTTACCAAGATGGTCTACTTTGCAGTTACAATTTCCCCAGTGGTGAGGGGAAAATGTAGCCAGGCATTACCTGTATTAGATGGTAGATAGGGTAATCTCCTCCACAGTGGCCATTTCCTTACCCCCAGAGCTTATGAATATGGGACCTTCTGTGGTGAGGGGACTTTGCAGAGAGGATCAAATTGAGGATTTTGAGAAGGGGGAGTGTCTTAGACGAGGAGAGGAGGGAGATAGATTCAGAGATCTGCTGATTTCAGCTGAGGTCATGGCAGGACACTCTAAAGATGGAGGAAGGGCTGGGAACGAAAGAATGCAGGCTGCGGGCGGTGTTTCTAGAAGCTAGAAAGGAAAGATGGGCTCCTCTCTAGCTAGGACTTTCAGATGGGATGTGCAGATGCCTGAGGCCCAGAATTAGGAGCTAAGTTGATGTGTTGTTGGAGCTGATGAACTTGTGTTATACGAGTCACTCCGTGTGTATAATAACTTGTTATAGCAGCAACAGAAAACTAACACAGAGGCGTTTGGGGTCACTGTGTCTAAGCAGAGTTCAGGAAGAGGGCTTCTGTGCCCCTGAGGGGACTTTCCTGAAAGGTTGCTTTAACCCTATCTTCCATTATCTTTTCTGTGCTTTAGAGAAAAAAAAATACTTTCTGTCCTACTTAGGTTTCTATTGCTGTGGTAAAACACCGACCCAAACTAACTTGTGGGAACAAAGTGTTTATGTCAGTTTACAGAGTACGGTCCATGATTGGGGGGAGCTAAGGAAGAAACGTAAGATGGGAGCTTGAAGCAGAAATCCCAGGGGAATGCTGCTTGCTGACATGCTCTTCATGGCTTGCTCAGCTGTGGGTCCTTACATACCTCAGGGCCACCTGCCCAGGGAGGAACCACCCACAGTGGGCTGGGTCCTCTCATATCACGTCATTAATGGAGAAAATGCCCACAGATTTGCCCACACCAGTCCGATGGAGGGAATTTCCCAGTTGAGATTCCTTCCTTCCTGGTGAGCCTAGCTGGTGTGACATTGACAAAAACTTAGAAGCACATGTCCCCTCTGGCTCAGATCTCCAGCCCTCCTTTTCCATTGCTCCACTCTGGGCAGATCTTTTCTCTTTGGACATAATCTGCTTCCCCAGCATGCTGTACATTTCATTGTTCTCTCACTTGCTAGACTTTAAGGGTCCTGCCACAGCAGTGATGCTCAGAACTCCGAGGAATTCCAACAGTAGGTGGGATAGTATTTATCTGCTTGCCAGGCTAGTGTTTAGTTCTTCACAGTCCTCAGTTGGCACAAAACAAGCTATGTCTTCATGACAGCAAAGCCACTAACTGAAAATATTGGTGTCCTGAGTTCATGTTGCTGGATCAGCAGCAGGTATATACTGATAGATTTCCATTTTATGGTAAGACAGTATTTTAGTATTAGAAATTACACGTGCCACACAATTACTTTTTGAAGAGGGGTTTGGAATGCTTTATTTTATTTTATTATAGGATAAGAGGCCCATAACTCTGTGGTTGGTGGGAAATATGCTTAACACAAACTTCTAAGCAGTTAACATGTTGTTTGACAGTTCTGATTTTTATCGTGACCCTCACTGAAGTTAGACAGGCTAACACCCACATGAACTTGGCCTGTAAAGTGAGTCATACACAAAGGAGTGCCCTTGTCAGTGACAGGGGAATAACATAGGGTTTTGAGTTCTTGACTGATAGTGAAAATTTTGATCTCAGCTGTTTTCCTTGCAGTTCTGGAATGAGTCAGACGAGAAATTGTTGTTCATCATTAGAAAACAGATTCCTAAAATGTGCTTATGAATGCCCAGTGCATTCCCTGTGACCTACTTAGATATCCTGAGATGAGTGTGGGAGGAAGGGAACGCAGGGAGGGGAAGACAAGCACCAATGGAAGGGCAAGGGGTAGGAAGGACGGCAGAAACTTTCACCTGACTAAGGACAGGCACTCACTCAAACGGTGGCTGAGTGGCTCGATGTGGAGCACGGACCGTAAAGTCATGCTCCTCCAGTGTGCTCCTCGTAGCTGTGTGGACTTGGGGAAATGACTTCCCTGTGCCTTGGCTGTAGGCCTGTGGCGAGGAATGAGGAGACTGTGACGAGCTCTCAGCTTGTCCTGTTTTACCTCTCCAGTATGTCCTAGCTTTCAGTCGTCTTTGTGCAGTTCAATAGGGGTTCAACGAAGGCTCTTGCACATGGCGAGCAAGTGCTCCATCTCTGTGATACATGTCCAGCCTTCCTGTTTAGCTTTTTATTTATTTAAATTATTTAGTTTAGCTCACCAAGTTGCTCAGGCTGGCCTTGAACTCACTTGTAGCCAAGGCTGGCCTTGACCTTGCAGTCCTCCTGCCTCAGCCTCCTGAGTAGTCGGGATTATGGACCACTTGACCAAGGCATTTGAATTTTACCCATAGTTAGATAATTTTGTCTCTCCCCTTGATGACTTAATCTTAATTCTATAAATGATTGTGAGTTTAGAACTATCTGAGTCTGTTTACAGAGGAATTTGAATTTTTTTTTCTGTTCAGTAGTGTTGCTGGTGATAGGTTTCTCATTGAGTGCAAGCCCTAGCAGCAAAGAAGAGTTCTCGTTAAATGGAGGCTGAAAGAGTGAAGGGTGAAATGGTGCTCACATTCGTCAGACATTTAATGTGTGTCAAGCACTGTACCAAGAGCTTTACACACACACTCACTTAAGCCTTTTAACAATCAAATGCAGCCTTTAACATCGTGCCCATTTTACAGGTTGGGAAATTAATACTTCGGGAATTGAATTACTTGCATAAAACCTCTGTGTGGCATTATGGGTTAAGGAACTGATGGGTGGGGCTATTTGTCAGTCTACTGCCCATCTTATGACTGGTTCATGAAAGAGATTTAGATACCTGGGCCTTTCAGTGTTAACAGTTATTGGGGTGGCTTTTTCTAACACATCGATGCACATTCTCCTGTCATGGCTTCTCTCAGAGTCCTCTTCAGCAGTGGCTCGGTAGCTGTCATTATCTTATGTTTCATACGGTTAGTTCTTGAAGCTATTGAGGAATATGAGCTGGTTTGCTTCGCTTTGGATTGTCCCCACACTGTCCCGTTTTTATTTGCTTGCTGTAATTCTTCCCTTCTTCTGGGCTGTTAGGGTGTATCTCGAGGGTTGGAAAAATAGCTCAGTGGGTAAGGGTGCTTGCTTTGCGAGTCTGGTTACGCAACTTCATGCCCCAGAACCCATATAAAGGCTGAGGGAGAGAACCGATTCCACAAAGTTGTCCTCTGACCTCCACACATGGAATGTGGCAAATGCGTTCATTACCCCCATATCAAAACATACTTATATTAAATAAACATCTTAAAGTCTAACAAAGAGTGTACCTTGAATGATGGCATGAAATTCTACATCATCATGGGCTAGGTCAAGGTTGAAAATCTAGTCTGAGTGCAGATCTATGTTAAACACAAAACCAAAGTAGCTACTGCACGTTAGCTGCTGATTTGGAGTGGGTGTTTCATTAGGTCTGTTATAAGCATTCTCTTCTTTAAATTTGAGGATTCTCAGAAGCATTTTTTCACCCCCTTTCCAGATGAGAAATTCAATTAGGAAAAGTGAAATCATTCCCCAAGATCTCACAGTTAGTAAGTGGTGGAGACAGGATCCAAACCCAGATGTGTCTAAACCACAGCTCATGAATCTCCTGATTCCACTGCCTGCCCTCTCAAGGAGGGAGGATGTGGGGCTTAGATAGCAAAGCAGCTTGGAGACTCTTAATTCCAGAGGGTAATGGAGGATGATTGCTGAGGGCCCGTACGCATCCAGGTTCTGAAGGAGCCATGCTGATCTATCTATGTTCCCCAAGACTGATACCTGCCACCCATCTTAAATCTATTTCTTCCAATGTATGTATTGGGCAAAATTTTTGAATACCTACCCTGTCCCAAGCACTAGATTGGTGACAATACACCCCTAGGAAGCTTTCTGGAACATAAACTGCAAAATAAGATTCACAGTCAGCTGTCTACCTTCTTATACTTCTTGGAGTTTGTTTCTTAAATCTTTGGCTTACAGTAGTTATAAGTTCTTCATGACAAAGATCAACTCCGAGTGTCTTGATGTCCATCATTTTTGTTAAATACTGTGAGGCCTGGATAAGTGAGGGTGAGCAATACATTCTTAAGTACTTGCAAAAATATTTAAGCCTCATCAGCAATCAGAAATCCACTGGACATAAAGTTAGGGTATAGCTTTGATCTCTATCACAAAATAACAGACCAATAAAATACATTTGACCAGAGCTGCTTGCTTTCTTTTAAGCATATTCTTCCTTAAAGCATGTGAGGCAGTCTATTGTTTTTCTAATAAATTTATGGTAGCCAGGTATGGGGGTGGCTCATGCCTGTCATCCTGGCATTGGGAGGGAGAGGAAGGAAGGTCAGATAGGCAAGGTCACCCTGAAATAATAATCAATTGAGGCCAGTTTGGGCTACATGAGACTCAGGCTCAAAAAAACAAAATAAAACAAAAACTGTTATGAAATGTACACTATAGCAGAACTAACCATGTTAGCAGAACTAATCCAGATTCAGATTTCTTGAATGGCATTCTAATCAAGTTGCTGAATATAATCATCACTATAATCTTAGTATAATTATGAATTTTTCCATTCATGACACAAGAAGGCAAATTACCTTTATTTTTTCAGTTTGTTCAATTTTCTTCTGCCTTATACTTGATGAAGGTAAAATGATTTCTTTGCAGTTTGATTATGACAAATCTATTTTTATGATTTGTTCTTACTCCCAAACTGAAGCCATAAATACTACTCACATTTCCCAATTTTTTAGGTGGAGTGGATTCCTCCTTTGTGCCATTGCAATGTTTCTTGTGATATTCCCAATGTTTACTTTTCCAAAAAAGCTTCCACCTCGACACAAGAAAAAGAAAAAGAAAAAATTTTCTGCTGATGTCGCTAGTGACGATGACGTCATCAAGGAGAAATCAAACACAAGTGAACAAGTGAACAAAAAAGTGTCTTCAATGGGCTTTGGAAAGAATGTCAGAGGTAAAGTATGTCTCTTCAATAAATACATGCATGGTATTTAGGCCAGTACTCTGCCAAGCGTGGGTCCAAAGAGGTATGTATGGCTCAGTGGTAGAGGGCAGTGCTGGGGCCTTGAGTTGGATGCTCAACAGGTCTCTGAAAGAGGAACTGTGTGGCCATACACCAGTGTCCCTCACAGATGTTTGCTGATAGCTGAGCAGACTTGAGAGAAATGATGCACAAGCCACTTTAGAAATGTGAGAGAATGGCCTCTTTGAGAGGAGGTGGGGGACAGTGACACAGAGTGGCAGTCAAAAAGAGGGACAAATGAGAACCAAGCAAAATGGCATATATGTATAAAAAAAAGCTACAATGAAACCCATTACTTTGTAAGCTAATTTTAAAAAGGAAACTTAAGGGAATAATCTTATCTGTTGAATTTGACAATAGTAATATAAGTTAGGCTTATATTTTTCAAAGCTTTAAAGAATGGATAGGCTGAAGACCAGAGTTCTGTTTCTGGATCCCATGGTGGAAGAAGAGAAGCACTCCCAAGGAATGTCCTCTGACTTCAACACACATGTGGTGACACAAGCCTGACATTCATGCACATACATCTCACACACTTATACACACTAGTAGTGAAAAAACAAAAACGAAACTCTAAAACAAACAAACAAATTTCTAAAAATTCATTTGAGTGTGTTCTGCAAAGTTACTAGTAGATAACAGATTAAATAATATAAGGAATGTCCCACCCTGCAGGAAGTTTGAGAATCATTGCTTTAGGTCATGAAGATACCCATATCTAGATGTAGCATTTGTTGCAATTACTGATGCCTGATTTCTAACACTGTGATTGCGTTGTGTAAAGGATGGTTTGTTTTAGGGGAGCAGTATGATATTATGGGGAGATCCTTATGTAAGTATGAAAATCCACTAGAAGAAAATATTATTCCTTAGTAGCTGCATCAATTCTCCCTGTGTGGCTGTCCTGAAGAAGGGTGTCTGTGGGATGGACTACCCTGTTTTTTCATTTTTATTTCTCTTAAAAATAATGAGTTTAGCACACTTTTAATCTCAGCACTTGGGAGGCTAGGGCAGGGCTAGGGTCAGATTTCTGTGAGGCAGAGACAGAGGCAGACAGATTTCTCTGAATTTGAGGCTAGTATGGTGTACATAGGGAGTTCCAGGCCAACCAGAGCTAAATGGTGTAACCCTGTCTCAAAAATGAAATGCTGATGGTAGAAATAATATAATAATAATAGTAGTCATTAAAGATAGATTAAACATTCTAAAATCTAAGTAACTTAAATTGCTTCTAAGTAGGCAATCTTTGACCTATTAAGGTCAAATAAGTCCTCTTGTTTTAGGGACCTGAAGTGACTCCCACTCGTTATTTCCAGTCTCATTTCCTGAATTCCCTGAGTTAATTTTTATAGAAACTGTAGAGCATGATGCTTACCAAACACTTGTGATAAAATAGCTGTGGCATTTTGACTATGCGTACAGTGAGACAGAGGGAGGAGATGAAATGACTAATATGTCATAGAGCTGTCATTACAGCCCAAGAAGGATGATAGATGGAACATTGCTAAAGACCACTTGTTAAAAGCTAGTGTCAGTATTTTGAAAACACTATTTCTTTTCATTTAAGTTGTAGATATGGTCTCCTTCCTCCTCATGACTTTGTGACAATGTGTTCTTTTGTAACTGCTAGAATGACTCCTGTTACTGCAGTAATACAGAGGAATTTTCTGGATGCTCATGTGGTCTGAGCTCTTCCCATGTGGATCAGCCCATCATTTTCACAGCTGTATTATGGACCACTGTGATGATGATGATGATGATGATGATGATGATGGTGGTGGTGGTAATGATGATGGTGTATGTGTGTGTGTGTGTGTGTGTGTGTGTGTGTGTGTGTGTGTGTGTGTGTCTCACCTTTATGGGTACAGGTAACTTTGGTGTCCAGAAGAGGGCACTGGTCTCCTGGAGTTCAAGTTACAAGTGATTGTGAGAGTTCAAGTTACAAGTGATTGTGAGATGCCTGATGGGGGTGCTGGGAACTGAACTTGGGATCTCTACAAGATAAGTACACACTCTTAACCACTGAGCTGCCCCCAGTTGGTTTTACAACTGAATTGAGATGAAGACAGTGTTAAATAGTTTAAGATATACAAATATATTTAGGATTTTAATTTGGGGGAATACAAAGTAGACTCAAGGGAGGAGACGAAGGCATGGTTAGAGGTATTTATACTTTGTAAATTAGGACTTCACAGTGAAATATATTAATAGAACAGTAGAGGGGGTATTGACATCAAGTCTCTACAACTGCTGATGTTCTTTCTAAAGATCTATTCATTATAGTTTATGTGTATGAATGTTTGCCTACATGCATGTCTGCACATCACTGCATGCCTGGTGCCTACAGAGGCCAGAAGAGGGCACCAGATCCCCTGGGGCCGAAATAATAGGTTATTGTGAGCTGCTGTGTGGGTCCTGGGAAGCAAACCCAGGTCCTCTGCAGGAGCAGAAAGTGCTCTTAATGACTGAGCCTTTTCTCCAGTCTCCACGGCTCTTTCCAGATACTTCAGCTGCCCTTTCTTTTCATGGATTTCTGCCATGTTCTTTGCCCAGTGCTTCTCACAACGTCCAGTGCTTTTTCCAAGGTGTTCTACCTTCATTCAAAATGAGAAGAATCCATTCCGGAATTTTAGACTTACTTATGGAAATTTACATGCTACTTCTTTAGTTTCTTGTACTGCAAGGGATTGTGGGTTTCTGACTTTCCACATAGGTGTGAATCACCTGGTATATATATATATATATATATATATATATATATATATACACATATGAAGGGATGAACAAGAGGAGTCTGAACATGTATAGTTTGTTCATGAAATCAATTTCCAGCTGATTTTCTTGCCCCTGTAATTCTGGCAAATTCTCCTTTTCACTTCCTTCGTGGATTGTGATGAATGATCCTACTTTGGTGTAAATCTAGATGGGACACACGGCTAATTCATTACTTGTGCTAAATGGATTCTCCAGCTGGTTGTAGATTGGAAGTTCAAGATGGAGTCTCAGGTAGCCTATGCTGGCCTTATACTAATTAGATAGTTAAAACTGGCCTTGGACTGCTCATCCTCTTGCCTCAACCTTTGAGTGTTCAGATTCTGGGCACATACTACCACACCCAACATAGTTTATCTTACTAAACAGAAATACTGTTTGAATGGGATATACTGAAAATCTCCTGCTAAAAACGTTTTCAACCATACTGTTGATATTGGAATACTATTCAATTAGGGAACTTAAATCAATTAATTTATTTGTACACATTAATATTCCTTAGAGTATTTGTGACAAAGCAACTGTTGGAAGTGACATTCTAACATTTAATCCAGATTTCAGAAGGACAAAGGAAACCTCTGGGTATGAACTCAGGCTTGGCATGATTTACATTACAGAGCCAAGGTGAAGGTCTTGCATTACAGAATGGTTTAGATTTCATTCTGAGTCAAATCTGTGTTTGAGTCCCATACTCTCTTTCCTTTTGTTTTCTGGAGCAGGGTTTCTTTTTGTCTTTATTTTTTGTTTCCGTCAAAACCAGCTCCTTTAAAGAGGAGATAGATAGCTTAGCTATCAATTTGTACTCTCTTAAAAAGAAAACAATGTGTGCTTTACAGAATGGTACCTTTTTTGTTTTTGTATTTGTAGACAGGGTCTTGCTGAGTCACCCAAGCGGGCTTTGAACCACTGGGTTCAAGTGACCCTCTTGCTTGAGCCTCCCAGGTACCTGGGACTCCAAGGGCATGCCACCACGCCTGCAGCACGGTGCCCTTTTAGAAGCTCTCTTGCTGAGGATGCTAGAAGAAAATCCACTGTACTTTCTACTTCCTGCTTCCCCGTTTTGATACAGATATTGGGAAAATCTGACTCATGTTTCTAGAGTCTTATAAATTATGTAGAATGAGGCTGTTGGAAAAGACCACAAAGAGGAAAGTCAAAACTTCAGTGTGTCTGCATTGCCTTTCCACAAAGAGATTAACATTGATTCCATCAAAATCTTAACAAAAATAAACACTTAAAATATTTAAGTGGATAAATTTTCCTGTGGTTGGAGGCCTAGAATTTTAAAGCCTTCCCCATTTAGCCCAACATTGTTCTGTATAGGAAAAAAAATGGTGGCAATTTATTTTCCTTTATGTCACTTTTAGTCTGAATTGTTTGGCTTTGTTAATTTAATATAAAATAGAAGTTCTTTTAGCTAGAATTTTGTCTGTGTTAGTGTGCAATATGTTTGTAAACATAACCAAACAGCCAAGTTATTTTGAGGTGATGAGCTGATTTTAAAAGAATCATTGAAAGTTACAGATTATTACTGTTATTATTATTAATAATTTCAGTCATTAGAGGATAATGTTAGGGTCTGGAGAGATGCCTCATTCAGTAAAGTGCCTGCTTCATGAGCATGAGGACCTGAGTTGGATCCCCAGAATCTGTACAGTTCAAGTGTGGCAGTGCACACTCAGAACCCTCGTGCTGAGGGTGTGGGGTGGGGTTGGGATGAGGCCAGGCAGGTCCCATAGAAGGCTTCAGACTTGGTTGTGGCCTCTGTGAAATGAGTGTGCTGTGTTCTGCAGAGGTCTCTGTGGGAGACTGGAGAAGCACAAAGGGGGTACATTGTGAACCACCAGAAGGCTAGGATGAGCCCCAGAAGTGGGATGTCTACCTAGCATACACAGGCTCTGGATTTCATCCCCAGCACCACAAAAGAACCATAAAGAGAGGACAGACTGACTGAGGGCAGGAGACTGAGCATTTCATGGAAGAATCAGGAAGGCCCAGAGCAGGTCACCTGAACCCTGTGGAGGTGGGAGCAACCCAGGTGGAGAGTGCAGAGGACAGGCGTGCTTGGAAATGCCGAACAGGTTTCTTGTACTTGGCACATTGAGCTTCTGTGGTAGACACCTGGGTGGTAAGGCTTGGGAGGGGTGTGTGTGTGTGTG